TTCTAGAGATGCTTGGAAAGGGGTGACAGAGAAAGGGCAGAACTGCTGCTTGTTTCCATCTGCAAGTCAGCCAAAACCCTGCATCAGTCAGCTGATCACAAATGATGTGCAGCAACAGAGCTGTGACACTGCTGGTGGTTAAAAATAAGAGTAGAAAATTCAAGTACCAAAATAAAAAGCTGGTTAACCACCAGGATAAAGCAACAATGTTCTCCCCAGGGGGGCAGCCTGGCTGGTTGGCTAGAAATCACCCAAGTTCAGCTGCCACTACACACTAGAAGTTATTGCTGAGTGTCAAGGACAGCAAACTGATGAGACAAGGGATTCAGAACTCTCATTTCGTGTCTCATGAGCAGGAGTGGAGTCCTGGCTGTGGCTCCTGTGAGCTGCTGCTGGCTGAGGAAGTTACTGTGAAGCATCCACAGCAGAGGCCCAAGGTGTAGGAATTGGAAGATGGCCTTGGAACAACTGGACTTGGCCACTGCTAGTTCCTGGGTGAGTTGTGCAGGTGTCTCCTCTGCTCCTTCATGCTTAGAACTGAAGCATTTGGATGTTAACCACTGAAACCTTCTTGGTGCTTCAGCTCCTCTTGAGTCCTGGCCAGGGTAAGATTTCTGAAGGCCCAGCTTGCTCCAAAACTCAATTATTAAGGGCTAAAGGATTTCTCTGAACAAATCAAACTAGAATATTATAAATCAGCATCCTCTGTTGTGATCTTTTGTCTCTTTTCCTAGAGTGCCACTGTATCTAGAGCAGCTCTCATCACCTTCCCATCTTGGGAAGAGTCAGAGTGTACTTTAATCTTACCTTCACCAGAGGATGAGGAAAAAAAAGTCTTGATTTCAGGTTAGAGACACAATCCAAGGGAGGGAATTCCCACATTCAGCACCTCAGGTGCTGCAGTAGCTACAGGGCTTCACCATACAAAGCACTGAACACACCAAGACTTTGTTGGATCTATGGGAGCTTGCATCTAAACCCATAAACCTGCCCCCAAAATCAGCCAGATGACATCACTAAAGGCAAAGAAAGTCCTTCCACACAGTCTGAGTGGAGATGCCTCTTGGGAAGGCAGCATTCAGCTGCTTGCTGAGTGACCTGGGTGATGATTCAGACATCTTCATGAGTAAAAAAAATCATGAAGAGTGGCCAAAAATTCTGCAGGATCTGCTCTTTTCACTGCTGGGTTCAATTCAGGACCAGCTGAATCTACTGGGATCAGTTCCTGGGGATCAAACTGTGCCTGCCAAAACAGCAAATCCCACCTGGATTTCCTGTGGCTTTTCTGCTGGAGTACTGAGCTCACAGGCAGTTAAGGATGGAGATGTACCCATGTTACTAGCAAGAAAGAAAAGCTGATGATAAAAACACAAAAACAACTCTGACCCATGGACTGAGCAGCAGAAAGAAGGCTGAGATTTAAAAACTGTATTAAATAGTTTGCCATTTAAAAAGATTTGAAGCCAACAGTTTTTTTTTTCAAGTTGTTTTGGGTGTGTACAGCAAATGCCAAGTCCTTGCCCCATGTAAAGCTGGGAGGAAAGTCCCCATTTTATCCAGATGTTCTTTGTGAGAGAAGCCAGAACTTACTGAAGGGTTGTCCTGGCTTATTCCAAGATTTCTGGAGTCAAGATTGCAGAGCTACCACTAGAATCAGGACACCTAAGCTGCTGGCACAACTCAATAACTAACCATTTAACAAATCAGGTAGAAAAACAACCCCCAATTTAGGGAGTTAAGATCAATTCAGCACACAAATTCCATGCTTCACAAGTTCTGCTGCTGTGTAAGAGTCTTCCTAACATCTCTGCAGCTAAGTTCAGGTTTTTTTAGGTCACTGCATGCCCAGATCAAAACAGCAGCAGCAAAATATCTACCACTACAAGCAGCTATACCAAATTGTGCCTTTAGAATGCAAAGGATGCAGGAATTGGGATGGTTGGGGCCTCACCCCCCCAAAAAAAAGGGAGCAGGCACACTCAATTTGGTGTGTGCACACTGTAGAGAACCAAGTTATTACTGCCAAAGAAAACTGAGCACAGATTCCAATAGAGATGTGACACTGAAGACAGATGAAGTCACCAGACATTCAGATTAGGGGGTGGAGGAAAGAAAACTCCTTCAGAAGACAGTGGTACAGACAAGAAGCCAGCATGACAAAGAACTCTAAAGGCACATTTCAGGTAACAGGGTTCTGTTAAGACCAACTGCTTACACAGGCAGGCACAAATCTTAATGGCTCCCACCCCCCCAATTAACAAAAAAAACCCCCCAGAGAAGTGCATTTTCAGTAATATTAACACCATTCAGTTAATCTGTTCAGTCCATGTGTTTAGCAGTGTTTTCCTTATGGTGATGTGGATTCTCTGCACTCCTCCAATCCAAAAAACAAAACCCCCAAACAGGCAGGATTAGTAAAGGTTCAACTGTTGTACTAGTTAACATTTACTCATCAGAGCCCACTGCTCTCTTCTGTGCCCTCTTGTAGGGCAACCTCCTGGGGGAAGCTTTATCTAGATTAAAGAAAAAAAAGATAGTTACATCAATGTTTTTTCAGGTTAGATTTTATATGAGCTTCTATTTTCCTCCCTCCCAAACACAAGCCAAACTGCCCTCCCAGTGCAATGCAGCACCCCAAGAGAAGCCAGCTCAAACAACTCATTAAGGCTTTTTAACTACCAGCATCCTAATTAGAAAGGGGTAAGAAAATTCCTATTCTGTAACATGCAGCTCCAGGGTGAGGGTTGTTCAACTTGCCAGCTCCTACAAGGCAAAAACCAAACCCCAAAACCCACCCAGCCTCACACCATCTGCTGCTGAAACTCCATGCTCTGCTGTCTAAGAGAAGTTTTGTGTGCAATAGTGCTGCTTTTAGCAAGTTAATGAATGATTCCAACCCCTAATGGTTTGAGATTCCCTAGAGAATGGCTTGAGAATATGTTGAGAAGGGTTGGAGAATAAATTGAGAGTGATTTGGGGATTTATTGCCTGAAGAATGTGTCATTCACCCTCTTTTAAACATCTTCATCCTGTATGAAATACTTCTACATTCATACAGGTTAAGAGTGGAGATGGTTTGGTGGTGAAAAACCCCAAACTTTTCCAGGAAGCATCCACTATATGGCACTTTGAGAATCAGAGACCATCACCCCCCTTTAGCTGGGTGATCCCTGGATGCCAGAAGCATCACCTTACATTTAAAACTTCATGGCAGGCTTATCAATGTCCTTGAGAAGGAGTGGTCCTCACACTGGTAGGATTTCAACTTCCTTTAGCTGGGTGATCCCTGGATGACAGAAGCATCACCTTACATTTAAAGCTTCATGGCAGGCTTATAAATGTCCTTGAGAAGGAATGGTCCTCACACTGGTAGGATTTCAACTGTTTGAATGCTGCAGAGAAGCTACAACACTTGGTATGAAGTGCTGAATTGATTGCTGAGGGTATCTCCTGACTTCAACCATGTATTGCAAAGAACACCTCTAATTTAAGTACAATAAAAAGGGGTGAAGGAATCAAAGTGATGTTGTCAGCTCCTGGCACAAGTTTCTATCAGAGCCAAGGTCTCTGGCCCTTCTGATTAAAGCTCAGAGAATGCACTTGGCAGCATGAATTGAGATCCCTCTGAAATGTTTGTGTGGTTGCATGCATCAGTCCTGTAACCTTTCACTGCTCATGCTGCACCACCCATCATGCAGGGAGCTGTACTGCCATTCATGCCTAATTAGCACATGGACAACCAATTAAGCACTTCCACTCTAAATCACCAGAGATTTCCTCACCTCTTCTACTCTGCACTGAAGCCACAGGAAAGCAAAACAGAAGAAACAGCAAGAGGAGTTAGAAAGAGCCACAAACACACAAATGGCCTGAAGAAATCAGATGCTGGGTTTGCTGTTGGCATTTCAGGTATCAGGTAGAATTTTGTCACCTTGGACTTGGGGAGGATGTTCATGCCAAGTCTGAAAGGGGCTTTAATTAACACACTCTTCTTATGCTTATTCAAAACTTTGGTCTATAGACCAAACCTCCCAAAAACTTAGAGAAACTTTGACTTTTTTTTTTCTCTCCTATTTACCCTCCTTTGGGATCCAGGTTTTAGGTGGATTTTATACTGTCAAAACAGTCTACAGAACAAATTGTAGAAGTCACCACTAGTCAGGATGGTATCAGCCAGTTAAGTTTGTTCTGCACAAGAGGAGGCTGCAAATACAGCAGTCTAATCATTAAGCACAGGGCTTTAGACAATTCTTTAATTCCCTAGAAGAGAAATTAGTATCAGCTACTTATTAAGTTGGTTACACTGTAGTTTGTGGCAGGCAGACTACTTACTTATCTGATTTAAAGTTTCTTGAGGAATCCAGCTCATATCAACATCATTCTGATTTGATGTTCCCATCTCTACTTTCTGTACTGGTCTTTTCCTCTGAAAACACAAAGAAAACACATTTTTAATTAGGTTCTTTTAATACAAGGCCATCAAGATTTCACACGTGCCTGGGGAAGTTGGTTATGCCTGTAAGGAGAAATGGCTGATGATTAATCACCCTTGGTGATAACTTTGTTACACTCTCTCAGAGCAGCATGATAATTTCCTCTCTCACCTTGCAGAGCAGCTTTTAAAGCACAGCAATCAGTCCATAATTCCTTCCAAGAGAACCTGCCTCAAAAGCCTCCTGAGCCAGACTGCACTAAACCATAACCTCCACAGCATTAGAAGAGCATCAATAAGGACTAAAAGAACTAGACAGGGTTTTTTTTTCCCCCTAAAGTCTGATCTAGATTAAACTAAAGAATAGAGAGCACAGGGAGAGTCCACCCAGTAAATACTGAACCAGCAGCTGCACAAACCCAGTGACTGAAAGGTATCAAAGCTCCCAGTCCAACCCCAACAGTGGGGTGCCAAAGAGCATTAGGGAAGCAATCTAAATGTCTGTAATTGTTAAATATTTCCTTCCAACTCTATCTAGTTTTCCCAAAAAGCCTCTAAGGTCTGAATTCTAAAAATAAACCTCCTAAAACCTGCAGCATCATATGGCAGAAGTGGTTACCCAACTGCTTTCTTTCTGTAGCAAGAAACAAGCACACAGACTACTCACCTTCCTGGATTCTAGCAACTGATGTAGGCCAACAATGACAAGCAGACCAAGTCCAGCAAGGAACATGTACATGAAGATCCTTTAAAAAAAACACAAGTTTAAGAAACCATTCACTACAAAATTTTAAGTGTTTAAGAGCATTTACAAAGAGGCATAGAAACTAAGCCCAGCTTTGGCCACGTGCCCACTTGATCTTTCCCCAAAAAACTTTTGTAGAGGGTGGGTGTGGGTAAAAATCAATCTAAACCTGAAGTGCTACCAAATATTACATCATTATTATGGCTTTTGATTTCAGAAGCTGTAATCTGAAGTTTAATTCTGAGCAACAGAACATTTGAAAAACACTATCAACTAGGAGACTTATAAAAAAACCACTGAAATTTAGGAACTGCAACAACTCTTTTGCAGTTTCATGCTTCAAGACGTTGGGTCACAGGTAATATTCATGTTGGTGACAGCTTTAACCACCTCTAACACTCTTTAAAAAATTGTTTTTAGTATGCTACAGCAAAGCAAGTACTGCTAGGATACTGATTTATCAGCAGCAGAGCTTTGACAGGTCTTGTTTCTCTTGCCCTGTGTTCCACACTTAGAATTCTACCCAAAATACCTGTTGATACCAAGCAAGAGTTGGAAAAATTGTATCTAAAATTAAACTGGGGAGCAGGCAGGAGCTTACAGGTAAATAACCTATTTGAAGTTGAACATCTTGTCTCAGATTTATGACAAAGAAAACACAGAATTAAACTATAGAAGATAAATAATTGAATATTTCTGTTCTTGGAATTCCTCTTGGGATAGTTGTCTGCTATAAACTCCTTCTTGGGGTAGTTATCTACTCTTTTAGGGAAGTTCCACGTTCAAATGGTGCTAACTCAAACTGGTTCTAGCAATCTGAATTCTTTTGAGAGCTCCTTTATCAGAGTCTCCCACATTTTTTATATGATCAATTGTTCTTTGATGCTGTTCTGAGAAATACAAATTCATGCAGCCACCATTTCTTTTAGCTGACCTTTTTTCAAGGGACACTTGCTCAGCAGGGAACTACCTGTGGCAGGAGAATTCAAACATTCAGCACTGCCTAAAATGATTTGTGAAGATCTCTGGGGGTTTATTTTTAAAACTCACACCTTCTTTTAAAATTCCACCCCAGTGCTAGAATACTTAAAAAAATACTTAGAAGTACTAGAAGTCTTTAAGACAAAAAAACCCCAAATCATGAGCTCCATCAATAACCTGCTCCACCAGTTGCCAACTAAACCAAACCTTCCAGCCTTACGTTTCTCCATCCAGCCCATCTTCTTTTTCAATAATTGTGACAGTCTGATTGAAGACAGCATCTTGAAACACGTTGCCCTAGAACAAAGTTGCCAAATAACATTTTAAACTCATTTCTTGAATGCCTATGCAAATATCTTGTACTTTTTTGGGAAAAAAAACCCCACAAACCTACAAAGCAGTAACTCCTGCACCAGGATTAAGTTTGAGCAGTGCAAGTTTGACTCAAAAGTACAAAATTTTTGGTGCAAGCATAAAGAATAGTGTTGATTTTAAGCAAGAAAGTCATATCTAGCCTTCAAGATGTTATTTCATCATGTGAGGGATTACATACAAAGGGCTTTTGTAAGAATAATCAAAACATAAGGGTACAGGAGCCTGTTAAACTTTGACTTGCATGAAAAGAGAAAATAATTCCTTATTTATAATTTTGAATCATTTTCTCCCCGATGGCAACTGTTGGTCATTTGTTTGCTTAAAGTCAAGCTTGCATTCAGGCTGATAGTTCAATTTGTGAGCAAAGCCCAATGAAATTTAAGTTCCCCTAAAGAAAACTAGAGTTTTGGGGTATTTTTTTAGATGAGTATAGCCCCTTCTTGCACAGTTCTAAGGCATTCTAGCTGGTGTAACTTCAAGTCTAATGCAAAGAAATCTCTATGGGCTGTTATTGTGAAACACAGAGTCACTGACTGTGCTTCTGCATCCACCCATCTGCTTAAAAACCACAAAGTGGTTCACTGACTGCAGAGGCAAGAACCTGCCCCAGCAGTTCCTTCCTGACACTGCCACATGAAGGAGAAACCCAGCAGCAGGCTTACGTTCACATCCCTGTAGTTGAGGTTGATCACCAGCCCAAAAGGACGGCCGCCCATCGGCTCGGCGGGGATGAAGGAGTACTCAAAGGTGGCTTGTTTCTGGGGTGGAACTACTGTGTTCAGAGGGAGGGCTGTGAAGTTCTGGATGTAAAACTGATAGTCTTGAGGGTAGCGGAAGGAAGCGTCCAGAGACTCCACGATGAAATCTTCTGTGCCCTTGTTGGTGAAGCCCACCAGGAATTTGACGATGTTGTTCGCTGGAAAGTCTAAAAGAGAAAGATGTGACCATTAGACTCTCTGTGCCACTTGGAGAGAGTCTAGAACAGGGTTTTTTTTTTTAGAGCTTTATTGTTTTAGGCACACAAGCAACAGGGAAGAAGATGGTGCATCAGCAGAGGACTCTCACCTTCCCCTTTCACAAACAAGATGGTTGTATCGGCGCTAGGCGAGGCTTTAGGTTCTCCTGACAAGTCCTCTTCCTCTTTTTCTTCTGTCTAAGACAAGAGATTTTTTTGAGGAAAAAAAAACCCCAACCTGGAACAGCAGAGCAAAGCCCACACTTGTTTCATGTCTCAAAGCATGTGACAACCCTGCTGTCAGTCCCTGCTGCTGTGGGATGAGCACGGGAGCCTCTTCTCCCTCTCTACTCCATCAGCATCTATCCCTCTGCTCGTGGCATTCACACAGTGACTAAGCTGAACTGCAGTTGATCAAAAGGTTTGGAATCAAACAGCAACAGCAAGGGAGGTGGGAGGAGAATAACAGACTCTAAAAGAAGTGCTTCACCTGAGCTATTTCTATTTAAGAAACAAGCACTTCCAAAAATGACAACCACGAGGCCGAGGAGAGTGGCTCTCACTACAGAGGGAGTGTTCAGAGAAGCTTTCTGCTCACTTTTCATTCCTCAAGTGCTACCTAGGCCTGGAAACAAGACTGTTGGAACTAATATTGTGGATTTGGTTGTTTAAGCTCACCTTTGTGGTGGTTCACTTGTTCATTAGGCAAATGCAAGTATTAAGAGCTTACTCTCCACGTGGGGATCACGGGATCGTCGCCTCCCCCACCCAATGAAAACAAGGCTGGCCCCATTTTGAGCTGCCTGAACTGAGCACTTGTGGAGTGAGTGAGGCTGTTGGATTTCCCTGCTTATATTTGAAGCAGCAGACAGCCCACCAGGTTGGTTGTACATGTACCATAACCCAGGGAAGTTAGGAAGCAGAGCCAGGCACCTAACGCCTTGATTTCAAGGCTCTGTGCTAAGCTGGGTCTTCTACTTCAGTGGGTCATTGATTTCAAATTAAAATAAACTGCCTAAAAAGTGGGATGTTTTACATGGTGCTTAAATACACTTATTGCAATGAATAGCCAGAGACTATTTCTTAAAAGCAAATGACTTCCAAAAGGTTATTTAACATTGTTGTATCTTCTCCTTCTAATAATGTCCCAAACTTTCTGATTTTACAGCAGAAATCTGGGACACTTTTGCACCAATTTAAGCACAGTAAGTGTCTGACTCCACTGGCAGCAGATCCCAGAACTCTGTGAAATACCAAGTCCGTTGGCTCATCTTCTTCAACCTCAGCTTCATCATCTTCATCTTCAACTACAGTATCTTCCACAGCTTCCTCATCTTCTGTAGCATCTTGAGCTGCAACTAATAAACCTGAACCTACCAAAATACAAAAAAAAAGCCTTTTTAATGTCTGCTTCATCAACAGAAAACTGGCACTGCAGTACAATTTCCAAACAAATATTTGAAGTATTTTTTAACTTTCTGAACAACTCATTTAGGTGCCAGTAAGTTCAAAACCAGAGGACAGCTAGAGAACCAGTTCAGCATTCACCTGAATGCTGAAATTGGCAGAGGGCAAATGATTTGTCTTAAAAGTACTTTTAAATATTTTTATAATGTGCTGCAGTATTAAAATATTTTGGGTTGTGATGTGAAAATGAAAAGACTTGGCTATCACTAGGAAATTGAGTAAGCACTGTTACTTCTAAAAGTAATAAGTTAAATAAATGATGAATATCTCCTTGTAAGCCATTTTTGCACTTATTTCAAGTTTTTTGAACACAGAAAAGGCTTTTTTTTAACATGACCTCCTCAATACCACATACTACTGTATTAACAGGTTCAAACAGAACCTCAACACTGTTCAGAAAGGAAACCTGACACAGAGAAAGGCCCCAAGACACGTGCAATCAGGTAGCAATTTGGGCTCTGCTTTCCTTGGTCTCACCCCTTCAAACCCTGGGCAGATATAATTTAATACAAACAGTGCCCCCAGGACAAAGTTCTGTCTGTTTGGAGCTGAGCACACATGCAGGTTACACTGAGGACTTGAAAAACATACAGAAAACTATATTTTTTTTAAGAAAAACTCACGTTTTCCAAAAATGGAAGAGCAAAAAATAAATGGGTGATTGATTTAGGCAAGCCTGAAAAAAAGACCTAATGGCCACGAGTGCATAATGAAAATAAATACTAAAAAATCCTCCATGGGGAATAAGAATCTCTAAGCAGGACAAATACATCCGAGGAGCTCAGAGCTGTCAGTTATAAGTAGGAAAAAAATCAAACGCAAGCCCTCAAGTGTTTTTGGGAGATCCACTGAAAGCCTTTTGCTCAACCACGTGTGCGATTGAGCCAAGATTAACTGCACTGATTTTATTTGACGGAGTCGTGAGCTGGGATATCTACAAATAAAGATTTTTTGTTTGAAATAAAAAAATCTCGGAGTCTGAACGCGATACGGGGGAGTTCTGGGGGGTTCCACAAGCGATTCCCCCCCACCCCTGGTTCGGGCTGTCAGGAGGGCTGCTGATGTGGCAGCGGCGAGCAGGCTGCTGGCCGAGCTGGGCGAACCGGGTGGCTC